TTTCTTTGAATATATTTTCCCAACCTTCTGTCTTCACCTTCTAGTACTCTGATAATTTGCATGAAATTTTTCTTGGTGTATCCCATATATCCCTTAGGCTGTCTACTGTTTCATGCATTTTTTACTCCTTATTGGATGATTTCCAGTGACTGATCTTCAACTGTGCTAATCTTCACGTCTGGTTATCTTCTATTGAACCTCTTGACTTCAGCTATATTCTCAGCTTGATGGTTTTTGTTTGATCCTTTCTCATATTTTTAAACTCTTTGTTGAATTTAACAGTTTTTCCATGTTTTACCTCATGAGCATCTTCATGACTGTCTTTTTAAATTCTCTGTCAGGTAAATCAGGTATCTCCATTTCATTAGAGTCAGCTTCTGGAGATTTATTTTATTTGGAACACAGTTCTCTGTTTCTTCATTTGCCTTGCTCTCTGACTTGGTTTCTGTGCATTAGAGAAGTGGCCCATTTCCCAGTTCTGTTAGACTGGTTTCATGTAGGAAGCCTTCCTTCCCTGTTAATGTGGCTATAGATTCAAGGTGCCTCTAAACTTCCTGTTCTTTTTCAGCTTGCTTTGTTCTTACTTATTGATCCCCAGGAAATTAATGTCCAGTTGTGCTATTTCCTTGAGAGAAGTGAGATGGTGGCCCCTACCTTGGGAGGCAGATGCAGCGTCCTAGGTGTTTTCTTTCAGAGAAGCTGAGAGCCTCAGACTTGTCCTGCCTATACCAAGGAGAGGTTCTGAAGCAGATACCTTTACTCTTAATCAGATGCCCACTTCAAACCTGGGGAAGTAGCTGCTGTGTGCTTTCTTTGTGGAAAACACGGAACCTCAGGAGTACAGAGCTCCATCATTTCCCAGAGTTTGGTGATTTAGGAGCCAGCTTCTTCAGTGAAGGCTGTAAAGGTTGGGGCTCTTGATGCATATAGAAGCTATTTCCAGGAGAGTCAGTGGGTCCGGATTTACTGCTGGAGCAAGCCAGGGAAGAAAGTATAGGGAGGGCTCAGTGTCTTGTTGGAGCAAGCATATGTCTTATAACATCCTACAGGGAACCTTCTGGTCTGGAGTTATCCCAGTGAAAGAATGCAGGGGTTTATCTTCAGAGCAAGCCAGGGGAGAGGATGTGGGGAATGCTGTCCCTTCCCTTTCGACTGGCAGAGCCCTTCAACTTACTTACATGCAGAGGTTTCAGGTCTGGAATTATCATGGGATCAAGTAGAGGAAGAAGGCAAGAAGTCATCTTAGAAGGCCCTTACAGGAGGAGCCTCTGGTCTGCATTTGTCACAGAAGCAGGCCAGGTAGGAAAGTGCAAGTTATGCCCCTTTCCCTTTCAGTCATGAAGAGGTCCCCTGCTCTCTCAGTGAGGGGGGGGGAGAGGGGGGAGAGGGAGAGGAGGGAGGGAGAGGGAGAGGGGAGAGAGGAGGGAGGGAGAGGGGGAGAGAGCGGGGAGAGAGGAGAGAGAGAGTCAGTCCACGCATGTGCAGAAATTTATGTAAGAAAGAAACCTGGGGAGAAGGCCATTTTTGCTGGCAGAACCTCCAGCTTCTTTCCCTGGAGAGCTTATAGGGCTGGATCTGTCTCTGAGGGGGAGAAGGCTAGGGTGTGCCATTTCTCCTGTTTAGTTTTCAGGCAGTTTATTCATTATCTGCTATGTAGGTCCCCAGATACTGGCTTGTTAGAGGCCAAAACCACAAGGAGCTCCAAGGGGAGGTTGGAAGCTGGAAAGATCTTGCTGGTCCCTGACCCTAACATTACAGCTGCTTAAGTGCATGCGCAATTCAAATCCTCTCTGTGTTCTTTGTGTTCTTGAGGGGATTCCTCTGATGCCCTGTCCCTGCTGTTCCTCAGGGATATTTTTTTTTTTTTGGTACTGGGGATGGAACTCAGGTCCTTGCTCAGCTTGCTTGAGGGAGGGGTCGGCACCACTGAGCTAAATCCCCAGCCCCTTGTTCCTCAGGGATATTTAAGAGCCCAGCCTTCTGACAGGAATGGTAGAAATTGGGCACTACACATGTGCTATAAGGCCCTCATTCCTTTAGCAGAAGTCCAGATTTGAGGTTTCCTTACTGATTTTAAGGCACTGTGCTCAGCATGGGATTATTCTAGCATGTCTCCATTTTACCTACTCATCTTAATGTGGATATTTTTTTCAATCATTTGATGTGTAGGAGTCTTTCAACTGGATTTGGCTTTCTTCTGGAGAGAACAAATCCATGTGTAGGTGTTTGCTCAGTCTGTAGGAAGGATGATCAAGAACCTCCTATCATCTTGACATGGCATATTGCTGAAGTCATCCCTTGTTATTATTTTCTGAAAGCGTAACAAATTTTCAGAGGTGTTCTATGTGAGTGAGAAAGATGAGTCAAGGATAATTCCAAGATTTTGGCTTGAGGAACTAGGATAATGGAGTTGCTACTTACTGAGATACTGAGAATTACAAGGAGGAATAGCACAGTTCTGGATGTGCTAAGTTTGAGGCACTATGAATGCCCCTCGGAGATGTTAAGACAGGAACTCAAGGGGTATCAGTTGAGAACTTGCCATCCCCAAATGTGCCATGCTGTTTTAAGCTCTTTGTCTTTGCACAGCCTGACTCTCTGCCTAAAAATCTTGTTCTCTTCCCCATTTCAGTTGTTACCAAGAGCACAATTAGTCACCCTTTCTTCTGTGTGCCAGTCTTTCTTCCTGTTTTTGCCTCTTTATCTGTAATATAGGCATTGTTACTTCACATATTTACTGAGGTAGCTGTGATATATTCTAGGCATTGTTGTAGGCCCTAGGGATAAAATAAATGTGGCAAAATTGTGGTCACTATATTGGAAGATGCAGGCAATAAAGAAGTGAACAAATAATACTTAGGTAGTAATAAGTTCTATAGAACATTACGTAACAGTGTGTTCAGTAGGTTTTGCATTCTGAGTACCCCTGTAGAGGGTCTGCTCAGGGACTATTTCTGCTGAGGTAGTAATTGAGAGAGACCTGAATGAGGAGCAAGCCATCTTCTGGAGGAGCAAGAGTGCAGGTAAGGAAAACAGCCATTCCCAAGGCTTTGGAACCGAGTAAGGTTGGTGTGTGACCAGTAGGGAGGCAGAATGGCAAAGTGGAGGAGCATGATAGGAGAGGGGCTCGGAGAGAAGTGCAGGAGCTTACCTTGGGGAGGGCCTTGCAATGCTTGCCTTATGCAGATTTGGTTTTGCTCTAAGGGTGCTGGGAAGTCACAAGAAGGTTCTGGGTGGGTGTTATGGCTTGCATCTTGATCTCTCCCCAGTGCCTCATGCACTGATAGGTGAGGCTTTTCAGAAGTGTGTGATGCCAGGACTAGGGGAACGTAATTGCTGAACTCGTCCACTGATTGGTTTAGCATAGTTCTAGATGTGGATAATGGGAAAGCCCATCCTGGGTGTGGTGTAGCCTGGATGGGATATAAAGGGAGACTTTGCTGCTGTTTCTACTACTGCTATTGCTTGCTGCTTTGCTGTCTCCTGCCTGCTTGCCATGGGGTCTTTCTCCCGTCATTCCCCTCTGCCATGCCACCCTGCTTTGGAGCCAGTTGACTAGATTGAAACCTCTAAAAACTGTAAGACAAAATAAACCTTTCCTCCTTTAACTGTGGGTGTTGAGTATTTTGTCTCAGCAATGAGAAAAGTAAGATAGCAGAAATTGCTAGGCTTTGGTTTTTGAGCTATGATTGCTATGTGGCATAGATAGTGGTAGAAGCAAGGAAATTATTGCAGTAGCTTAGGCAAAAGCTAAGTGATGACAGTGGAAGTGGTGAAAAGTAGGCAAAAAATAGATTGTGTAAAGGGGAAGAAGAAAAGGGATGAAACAGAATAAGACATAGATTTTTGGTATGGACAGCCCATCTACATGTCCTATTAAATTACCAGCTTCCCTTCATATGTAGAATATGGAAATGTAGTGTTTTTACCTTGTTTGAAGTATCCTGCCTCTACTTTCATGCCCTGTCCCCCTTTCATTTCCTCTCTGAGCATCAGCCAGACTGGTGGCTCTCTGTTCCCAGAACTGCCCGAGCTCTTCATTGCCTTATCTAAATGCATTCATTCTTCAACTTCCATTCATCCAAAAATGTTACCTCCTCAGAGATCTCCAACCTCTACTACCCCAACCATTGCAAAAGTCTGGATTTTCCTGTATAGCATCTATGATAACTTGCAATTAATTAAACATACTAATATTGAATTTCTGTTTCCTTCAGTGAATTTTAAGTTTCTAGGGAAGTGGGGGTGGGTCCTTTTCTGCTGCTTCTTTGCCTGGAGCCTAGCCCAGTGCCCAGCACATAGCAGGTGTTCAGTATGCCTCTTTAAGGGAGTAGATGCAGGAGACCCAAGGATGAAGTCACAGTAGGCGTGAGGAGACATTAAAGTAGGCCTAAATGCTGTCTAGTATTCAAGGGAGCAGTGAACTTGACTGTTGTTCCTTTTCTCAGGTGTCAGAGGACTAATGGCAACCATTTATTTTAAAAATTAATATTATATTGGGTGTCTGAAAAACTTTAGTTATTTAAAATCTGAGCTATGTAGGTGCCATAAGGATAGGAAGCCTTTCCTTTTTACTAAAGTATAAGAAGTGTTAACTGTTTTAATCATCTTGTCATTGCTGGGATGCAATACCCAACACCCACAATTAAAGGAGGAGAGGTTTATTTTGGCTGGTTTATTTTGTAGTCAGCTGGCTCCAAGGCAGGATGGCATGGCAGAGAAGCATGGCAGAGGAGAGCTGCTCATGGCATGGCCACAGGGAAGCAGAGAGAGTGGCAGAGAGAGTGAAAGAAGGAAGGAGAAAAGGAGATAAACCTTTCTAGGCTATGCTGTCAGTGTCCTGCCTCTTCCAACCAGACCCCACCTCTTAACACCAAGTCAGCTATACTGCCCTCATATTCCAGTCACTTCCCAAAAGCCCCTCATATGATCATATGATGCTTAAATATGGGGGGAGGTATTTAAAATATAACACTAACTTTAACTTTCTTTTTCTCAAGGTTAATCTGAAGCGACCGTGTCCTTTCTGGGCAGAAGATGGACATTGTTCAATAAAAGACTGCCACGTGGAGCCCTGTCCAGAGGTACAATAAATAAAAAACTAATAGGGAAAAAAGCTTACTTACTCTTGGACTTTTAGATAAGCATATTTATTCTCTGTATTTTAGGCTAATGTCAGTGGATTTGGACTTGTCAGCAAAATCGTGTATTCTCTGCCCTCTTCTGCCCTAGATCAGTCTCTTATTCAATACTTGTCACCAAATGGGTTTAAAGATACTTTTCTGTCCTGTGTTATTGGTGACTGGATGTGGAAGTATAGTCCAATTCTATAATGGAAGGAAGATCATAATCCTTTTCTAGGATTGAGTCTGTAACTGGCTTTTATTTTGTGCTTTATGGAATCACATCTTATTTCATAGGTTTAAAAAAACCTCAAAACACACAAAAACCAAACCTGGACCCTAACTTTCAAATTTAGAATGGAAATTTCATTGGCTAGAGGGGAAATTTGCAGGTTTGAAATTGAGTTTTCATTTGGTTTTTGTTTGTTTAAGTGTATGCTGCACTTATTATCAAGAGAATGCTGTATTTTAGACTTTTAAACTTTAAAAAAAAATTTTAGTGGTGCTGGGAATTGAACTAGGAAATTAACGTTAATATATTTACTAATAGCTATGTAGCCCCTATTCAGATAGTGCCAGTGACTTCCATATGCTTGTGCTTTGTAGAGGAAGAAAAAAAGTTTTTTGGTCTAGAATCCAATCAGAATTATAGTTTGCATTTGGTTGTCATGTTTCTTTAGTTTCTTTTCCTCTAATATTCTCTTTTCCTCATTTCCTACAATAAAGGGGATCAAAGCAAGGGCCTTGTACCTTATACATGGCAGTCATGTGCATTACCACTGAGCTACACCTGCATTCCCCCTTTGCACATTTTTAAATTGAGTTGTTCCTTACTGCTGAATTTAAGAGTTCATTATTTGGCTTTGATACATAGTATATATTTCTAAACTGAGTGCTTTTTTTTTTTTGAGGGAACCTGAAAAGCACATGTTTGAACCTAGAGAATACTGAGCCACATCCCCAGCCTTTTTAAAATTTTGAGACAGGGTGTTGCTTAGTTGGCCAGATGGGCCTCAGACTTCTGATCCTTCTGCTTCAGCCTCCCCTGGATCTGGGATTACAGGCATATGTCACCTGGAAAGTGTTTACTTTTTCAAGTTAACAGTTACTATATCTGTGTTAACTTTCTATTAAGAATAAATGAAAGCTGGGCATGGTGGTGTGTGCCTGTAATCCCAGCACTCAGGAGGCTGAGGCAGGAGGATCACTGTAAATTCAAGGCCAGCCTTGGCTACATAGTGAGTTTAAAGTCAGCCTGAACTGCATAGCGAGACCCTATCTCAAAAAACAAACAAACAAACAAAAAACAACAAAAAAAGAATAAATGAAAATGTTTTTTTATAAAAGGACCTCCAACATAGGAAATAAAACACACATATATCAAAATATTCATCTTTATTCCCTTCTGATCCCATTCCCTTTCCTTCTCCCAGAGACAAAAAACTATCCCTTCTTACTGATTCTTTAAATAATGTGAGGTTTTTACACCTGTCTCTCTTTGGGGGAAAATTTATTAGGTATTTTATGTTTTACCCAAATTTGTGGTACAGTTTGGTTACTATAATTTCAAATCTAATTTAATCATGGGTTCACTTTACAGTTTACACACTGCTTCATATTATATGTGTTAGTGGCAATACCAGATATATTTTATGCTTGATTTTAGTTGTTTTACTTTTAATTTTTGCTAAATTACTTTGAATAACATTTTTTTGTTTTTGTGGTGTTTGATATATTACTCATGACAATCACCAGTGGTGCCCTAGTATTTCTTCATAGCCTGTGGGTGATATTTGTTTAAATCATTATGTTCTGCATCAAACCTTTTAAAAAGCTGCTAATGAGAACCTGGAATGGTGATGCACTCTTGTAATCCTAGCACTTGGGGAGGCTGCAGCAGGCAGAGGCAGGAGAGTTACAAGTTGGAGTCTAGCCTGGGCAATTTAGTGATTTAGCAAGACCTGGTCTCAGAAAATTTAAAAAGGGCTGGGGCCGTAGCTCAATGTAAAACATACAATCTTGTATTGGCTAGAGGACATACAGTAGTCAGAGGCCACTTTTGGTTAATATTTGCTCCAGATTATAAAGTCAGGGTCTTATAACTGTCTAGATTTGACTTGAGTTTTGTAATTTTCTCTCCTGTCCCTTAGTAGATATGCTGGGAAAAAAAAATACCAATATGATAAAATATTGGCAGCAAGTGACATTTTATCTATCTGTATAGTCTTTTTATGGATTAGGAAAAAAATCTGTTTATTATCATCTTCATCATCATTTTCCTGACAAGAAAATGTTCTGAATGTTTTATTAAAATCTATGAAATTTGAGTAATTTTTAATAGGTAACTTGCTGTTGTTGGTAGTCAGTAGATTCAAAGGTTGGGGAAAGCCCCTGGGTTGATTAAAAAAAAAATCAACCTGGGATTGTCTTCTTTCAGGTATGATTTTTGTTAAAAGTTTTATTTGATAAAGCAGTTGAAATAATTCATAGATTCATTTATTAAAGGCTAATACCAATTATTGCTTTTGTGGAAAAGAATGTCGAACCTAATATAGTTCTTCCGTTGATAAACCCCTAGATTACTTAGGTTGATAAACTCTGTTTCTGGCCTATAGACCAGAAATCTGACTATTGCCTCCTAGTAATCCAGAATTGCTTAAACTTTAAATGTCATCTTAGAACAAAAAATTAAAATCCAGCCTAATACATTTTAACTACTTTTGAACTTTTAAAAGCTTTTTCTGTGGTAAGAAATTTTATGGAAAAGTGATGTTCATTTTTACCCTAAAATTTATATAAACTATAAAAGAAATACTGCATTGAGAGTTATTAGAGGTGATTTTGACTCTATGTCATTCAATTTTCTGTAATTTACAAGTTTGTAAATTGGGATAACTGTTTTTAACTCAAGAGGAAGTATGAAAACAAAATTTGAATGTATATTTGCATCCCATAGAATAATACATTCTTTTGTATCACTTTAAAATTTTTTATTGTTGTTCTTTTAAGAGTAAAATTCCAGTTGGAATTAAAGCCGGGCATTCTAATAAGGTGAGTCACTTTTCTCCCTTGAATATTTCTGCTTTATTGCACAGTGAAACTTACCATTTACAATGTTTGACAGTGGTTGCAGAGACTGTAATATGGCTCGTTGGGAATGGAGACATTTTGCCTCAGAATTCCAAATCCCTAATTCTTGAACAAGTAGAGAGTTTGTGCATTTCAGCTTCTTTTGAAATTACTTCAGTGTTTGTGGAACCTTTAGAAGAACTCTAATATGTAGCTGCAGTTCTATATCACCTGCTCAACAGATGTTTTGTCATAGTGGTGGAGAACCTATGGCACACGTTACTGTGTTTTTCTTTTAAGACAAAAAATTAACGTACCAGTTGTTTTTTTCCAAACTAAAATCTCAGTATTCAGGTTTAATTGCAGTGTTGGCACTTTGCAATAAATAAGTGGGTTTTGGGTTGCAATTTGGCACTTGGTCTCAAAAAGGTTTACCATCACTTTTATCATATAGGCGCATTTGGTTTTCTATTTCAGTTAGTCTACCTGTTAGATTCAGGATTATATTGTATAGAGAAAATAATTATCAAGAGATTTTGAGCAAAGTACTTTCCAATAGTGTTAAACTATTCCTTTATTAAAGATTACCTTTTTCTTAGGAACACGTCATAGTTTTGTTTTGTTTTTGTCATGCACATGTTTTTAGGTATCGATTTACCTCTAGTTTTTCACTATTGTATATACATAATAAAGGTCACCAGACCCTTTTTCGCCTTCCTTTTGTGCATACTTTCCATTTTCTAGCCTTTTCATCCATGTGTTATGCTCACATTCACTTTTGTTTGTTTTTGTTTTTGTTTTTTCTCCAGTAGAAAGACAGATGCAATCCTCTGAAGGTCTTCCCAATCACATTCTGTTTCCTCCCTCCCTAGAACCAGGCATTTTTCTGAAGTATCCTTCCGTGGTTTTATACTGTCATTGCACATATATCTGTATGCTACCTACTGTACGTACTTTTTATATAAAATTGAAAAAAATTAAATAATATTGTATTTTATTGATTTCAATAGTATTTTTTTGTATTTTTACTCAATCTTAATGATTTTGAATTTTTTTCTGTTGATATATGTGATTCTTGTTCATTTTAATAACTAGTAGTCAGTTACATGACTTTAACATAGAGTAGTCATTCTTTTGTCCATGGACATTTCACTTGTTTCCAGTTTTTGCTGATACAGTGATGCAGTAGCATTTTTCTTCGTCTCATTGTGGACATATGTTACCATTTCTCTACTTCTGTATTTAGAAATACAAGGTACTTGTCCTTTTTCTTTTTTAATTGTTGCCCTCAGATGTGGACTTGGCCTAAAAGGCCAAAGGGTTTGTGTATTTTTATAGTTCGAGATACATAATAACAAATTCTTTCCCGAGTGAGTTTTCTTAGTGCATGTCACAACAGCACACTAATGCTGTTAAATTGTTAATGTCTCTGCTAATTTGGTAGGTAGAAATTTGTACCTCTTTTTTATTAATGTTATATATATTACATATTTTGATAATAGGGTATATCTATATTTAGTGTATATCATCACTGACAGATAGTTCTGCCAGTGGAAGCTGAGAAAAACACAAAGATAATTATTACTAAACTTACCATGAACTTCCTTACAGTACTTGAAAGTGGCAAATAATACCGAAGAATTAGAAGACTGTGAACAAGCTAATAAGCTGGGAGCAGTTAACAGCACATTAAGGCAAGTTTTATTTTAGTAGTATGAAGAAGATACTCTCATTTATTTACATTAATCTTTTTCTTGTGATTTTAGTAAAACATTTTTGCCAACCATTAAATTTTCAACTAATAAATTTTTTAAAGGAAGAAAAAGTTACTCTATCCTAAACTCCATAACAATTTTGCCTCTTCTTGGCTAATTTGTTGTTAAATTTCTAGGATATATTATCAGTAGCAAGTCTACTCAAAAGGATAAATTTAGAAAATTACTCAGCAGGGTTTCTGGGTCCATTCTTCTGATCATTATGGGAAAAGAGGTTTGCACCTCTAAATCTTTTATATATATAGAAAAGCATCTGTATGTTATATTTTGAATGGTAAATTTGCTGTTAGTTTAACTTAAGTCCCATAGATTTTTTTGGCTGACTTTTCTGCTGTAAGCAGAACAACATGATAGAAGCAATAGCAGACCTAAACCCTGCAAACACAAACCAAACCAAAATCCAACAAACAAGCAAAACAAACAACAGAAACACACACAGGACTAATATATACATCCTTGTGGTATTTATAATGGGGACAATTTTGAACACCTCCTGATGTAAGGAGGGTTGTGAAAAGGTTTTTTTTAGTGCACAGTTCTCTTTCTCAGCTTCTGTTCAAGTAAGATGGTTTGGGGCAGTCTAGGCTGAGCTTTACCTCTCTATTGTCACGGGTAAGTGCTTAGGGAGAACTATCGGTGGCAGGGCTCAGTCCACACCTAGTACTTATTGTTGTTGTTTTGTTTTTGTTTGTTTGTTGTACTTGGGAATGAGGGCACAGATAGAGTTGTAGCTGTCTACCAAACCTCTCTCTGGCCTTGCCTGAGGAATGGTCTAGATGGTGTGCCCTTAAAGAGTATGGGAGACATGACTGGCAAGTGTCAGTGCTGCAGTGGGTATTCTTTTGATGTGTTCCAGCAGGACAGAGGTGATTGGACACATAGGTTCTGCACTGTTGGTTGGGGTGATTAACAGCTGTCAGTGCTGCTCTCTCTAGTCTGACATGATCTGAATCTCTGGTAACTTCTGGTTGATAGTGGGGCACCAGTGTAGCTCTGAGCCTCCCATGCTGGCCTCCTGTGGGCTCTGCAGCCAGTGCTAACCTGGCTCCTCTGTCCGCTCCTAGCTCTTTTGGTTCTTTAGCTGTGCAGCAGCTTAATCTTTCTAGCTCATGGCTCTAGCGGCTCCCAGGGTTGGCAAAGCTCCAGCCCCTCCCTGGGAATAAGGGTGGTGGCTAGGTTGAACACTTAGTGGCTGCTGTTCCAGGCTGTTGCTTCTCCAGAAATATTTTGTACATCTCAGGCTTGCAAAACCCGTGCAAAGAGAAATGCCTGGGGCCACGTGGTGGCCTTACTTATTCAAACTACCAGCACTTCTGGTTTTCACCTGTCTCTGGCATTCCAGTGTTTGGAACTCCCATCTCCTTTGCACGCATATACCTGTAGGCTTGGGTGAACACCCCAGAGTGGCTTGTGAGTGCCGCTTGCTTCCAGTCCCCAAGCTCGAGCTCTGTGTAGAGAACAAGGAAGGCTAGCAACATGATTCTTCTCTGGTGGATGTTGCCCTCATGTATTGCGACAGAAGGCCTGAATATGGATTAATGTGAATGTAGCTTTAAGTTTATTTGAATGAATGTAGTTTCACATCAGTTCAAGTTAGAAATCTTTACCATAGGTTCTGTTAATTTGAGGTATGATGTAAAATGAATGACCTGCCATGGTGAAGGTAACTTTGGTTTAACAATTTAGCACCACACTGGATCGTAAGATCAAAAATACACAGTTTTGGGGATTTTGGATAAAACCAATTCAGTTTTTTTTGTTGTCTTTTGTTTTTGTTTTTGTTTTTGGTACTGGGGATCGAACTTGGGACCCTGCGCTTGCAAGGCAGGCGGCAAAACCACTGAGCTAAATCCTGGGCGGCAATTTAAATTTATAATATTCTGAAAGTAAATTTTATTCCTACTTCAATTCTACAATTTCTAAGTCAGTTGGAAAGGCCAGCTTGATTTTTGTATTTAAATTTTTTATGTATTTGTAAATTTTTAGTTAAAATAGCTACTATTCAACTAGGGCTAATAATCATTTTAATGTAGTTAATATAAATTACTCATGGAAGTTTATATATTTTTCATATAACTTGTTCTTAATCATTCCTTCAGGTAACCACTAATAATGGAATTGTGACATCATCAAATAAAGTGACCTCAGATTATCTATTTTAATTACATTAGAATATAGTATAAAATTTTTCAACTCCAAATTTAATCATTTTTCTTTTTTATTCCTCCTTCCCATAGTAATCAAAGCAAAGAAGCGTTCATTGACTGGGCAAGATATGATGATTCACAGGATCACTTTTGTGAACTTGATGGTAATAAAATAAACTATTATAAATAAATTATTTTAACACTTTTATAAGACATTTAAATCAATGAAAATACAACCTGAGTTACAGCTTTAACATTGGATTTTTCTATGTGGATTTTGCTATGTAGATTTTGTTAATAAGGGCATTTGAGAGTCTGTGTTCCAGGCCTTGTGTTAAGTGCCTTAAAAACATTATTTCTAATCTTTATAACTACCTTAATAGCAATGTTTTTTTAATATCTGAGAAATTAATTTTCAAAAACACTAAATTGCCCCAAATCACACAGCAAGAGGCTGAGGTAGGATTTTATGCCAGATCTGAGTGAGTCCAAAACCTGTGTTCTTTCCAGTACATCGCACCATCTCCTGTGGGCCTTCAGTTGAAGCCACTTGGTTATAGGTCTTTGAACATACAAAAATCTCTACACTGGAATTTGCTGGAGGTCTCAACAAACTCATAATGATTCCCTCTAGTGTTGGGGAGGACTGCAGTTTGACTTCCTCACAACCCTCCAAGAGTCCCCTGGAAGGATCCAAAGATGGGACACTGTCCAACAGAGAGATACTACCACTTCTCTGAATAGGAGATAATTGCTGCAGTAATTTAGAAATTTTTATCTATATTTCCAAAGAACTGTGAATGGAAAATAGTATTTCCAAAGAACTGTGCTATGTAGGCTAGAATCATGCATTTGGCCTCTTCACCTTTACTTTGTTGCTGTTAAACTTTTGGTGGTGGGAAAGAATTTGGGGTTAAAGCATGCACAGTTGAAAATGGAGAGCAGAGGTGTTTTCTGAACTCTTCAAGGATCTAAAGTGATCATCATACTTTCTAAAAGTTTGGAAAGGATCCAGAACTAGAACTGTGCTATCAATCTGTATTATAATGAAGTAAGTTACTATGGGCTTCTAAAGAATAGTAAATTGAATACTGGGAGATAGAATATTGTTAAAACCATTTATATCATTTCAGCTAGGAAAATTTTTAAGAAATCTGAGCAAGGTTTCTTTGGGTATCGGGTATACCAATGGCCAGCTAATTAAATATCCCCATTATGATATTTAGAATTGGCGAAAGTTTTATCAGAGCAAGCCACTGTACCTACATGAACTTGCATCACTGCTTACTCTCTTATTTGCTCTTTGGTTATCATTCTAATTATATTGGCATGTTTAACACCGTAGTTAACTTCTTTCCAGTTCATTTTATCTATTTCATGGTTTTAAAAAATTAATCATGCTTATTTAATAGGTTTTCAGATTAATAAATCATTTCTGTGATTATAAATTACTCATGATAGTTTTTCTCATAAAAACTACTCAATTGTAAGGGTTACTTGCTGTAAGTAAATTGATGTGCTAAATTTAATGTCATCAATAATAGTGTTAACATTTTTCTTTTTTGTGGTACTGGGGATTGAACCCAAAGCCTTTGTACTGAGCTACATCCCCAGCCCCCACCCCTCTTTTTTCATTTTGAAAGTGTCTCACTGAGTTGCTTCATTGCTCAAGCTAGGTTCAAACTTGCAATTCTCCTGCCTCAGCCTCCCAGTGTACTAGGATTACAAGCATGCACCATCATGCCCAGTTCTATTTTTTATACCATTAGTTTCTTAAGTTGTAAAAATGAAGACATATCCAATAAGAACTTGTATAAAATCATCCTTTAATATTTTTAGGATTATATATTTGAAATAATTAGGATTTTTTTCAATTTTATGTAATTCTTATGCATATAAAGCAATGCTACTTACTAATTGGATTACCATTACTCCTCTGAGTAGTAGTTTTCATATGCTCTAGTGATTTATACTTATAATTTTTTTTACTGTCAAGGGTAGCTTTAGAATCATTGTGTAATTATTCCTGCTATCTAAATTCAGAAGGTTAAAATGTAAAGACTATTCACTCTAGTTTATTAGGGAAAATATCTGTATGCCTCTGTTCCTTGCTGATTTGCTATTGGTATTATCTCTGTTTGAATGGAAGATGATCCCTATGGATGAAATAGCAGCCTTTTAAATAATTTAGCAGTTTAATATCCACTAGGGTGAGCTGCTGTACCTGTCCTATTGTTTTCGTTATCATCTTTATGCATGGGTTGCTTCTTCTTTTGGCTCCTGTTTCTGCTTAAATGTCTTCTCACAGGGAAGCTTGGTCTCATCTTCCTGTATAGAATAGTAACCATGGTCACTCATGGGGCCTCTGCGCTGCATCCACTCCATCCCCCACTAACAACTACCTGGCAGTGTGACATATTATTTAGTTTATCAGTTCCTTGTCTGTCTTTTCCTCCTAGATTGTGAGCTACTCAAGAGCCAGGGCTTGGTCTTTGAGTCACTGCTGTATTCTTAGTGCCTAGAACAATGCCTAGACATCATAGGTGTTTAATAAAGATTTGCTGAATGAAGCAGTTGGTCTATAACCCAAATAGCATGATAGGCTTTAACTTTTATTTTTCCCTGAAAACATGTTTATTAATATTTAAAATATTGTTTAAGGGCTGGGGATTTAGTTCAGTGATTCTGCTGCCTGCCTCGCAAGTGCAAGGACCCGAGTTTGATCCCCGGTACCAAAAAACAAACAAAAACGAAAATATTGTTTAAAGCAGTAGTTCCTAAGTCTAGCTGTGTATCAGAATGACTTGAGGACTTTATAAGCTATAGATTTTCCTTGACTGTGTAGCTCATGCTCTAACAGTGAGTTAGTAGCAGTTTGGGGTAGGATTGGTGGTACAGGGCTCTAGGCTTAATCCTGAGTCCATGACATAAAATTTTTAATCTGTGACTATAAGCAAAAAGCCTTCATCCTAAATTGACCTGTGCTTCTATGTCTTACAGATACATGGGTAAGGAAGCAAGGCAGTGTCTGCACACTAGAAACCAGGTTGTGACCTCATCACACTACTGTTAAGACAGTGAGAGGAGGAGAATTAAGTTGGAAAAATGATATACTTGAGGAAAAAACATTAGTCCAATTTGATGATTTTCCAGAATTAGGAGTCATGATTCAGAGGAAGGTCTTTGTATATTTAGGTAATGGTCAACATGGTCATATAGAAAGCAAAGCTTTGCAGCAGTTTTGTAGAGAGAGGAAGAAGAAAATACTTTCTGGGGCAAGGATCCAGTAGAAGTACAAAAAGAAAGAGCTGAATAAGTGATCCAGCTGTACCATTATAAAGAAGTGATAACTGAGGAACAGGTTAATTAAAATCAGTGTCACAGGTCACCCAGGGCGGAGGTGGGCCCTAGCTCTGGTGTGCTTACAGGGAAACTAACCACTGTATGCTTTCTCCCCAATACTGGTCACTCTAGCATCATGAAAGCCTTGTCAGTATAGGTCAGAAATAGGCAAGCTTTTCAGTAAACAGACAAATGGTAAATGCTTTAGGTTTTATGTACCATATAGTCTCTGGCAACTCCTCTACTCTGCCACATAAGCCAAAAAACATGGCTGTTCCAAGAAAACGTTCTTCACAAAAACAGATAGTAGGCCAGATTTGGCCCATGAATGTAGTGTGCCAAGCACAAAACCCACCCTTTTCATGATTTTAAAAAGTATTTAAAATTTAAAGAGTTAAAATCATTGATTGAATTGAGAATTTTAAGAAAATAGTTATAAAAAACTGATATGATTTTACTCTCAGGACTTGTTTTAGCTCCCTTAAAATATATTTTAAGTCATTATGCTTTAATAGCTGACTCGGGTTTTTTCCCTTACTGGTTGTTTAGTTGTGTTCATGGAGAGGAGACTGATACTAGCGCAGTCTACACAATCACAGATGACCCTGAATACATATGTGTAGTCTTATATGGGTATGCACAGACACAGAGTATTGCTAGTTGTGAACAATATATGTGAGGGAACATATATTTACGTGGTCAGTAATATTTGTGAAGTTTATATATAACTGAGTCAACTTTGCAAATAAACTTAAGAGCAGCTCAAGGAAATTAAAAATATATTTGAAATTAAATAATTTTTAAATTACTAAAAGCCATACTTTTAATAACTTCACAATTTAAACTTATATTTTAAAATTCAAATTTTAAAAGTTACTGTTTTTAAGTCCTAAGTCAATCCGTGTCCTTTACTTGAACTGTTTTTGTCTGTCCAGTTTGTAAAGTAAATTTCCTGTGCCTTAATTTGTATAGTAGAATAGCTTTGTAATTCTAGGGCTAGAAGTAGAGCCATTATCTTCTATTATGTAAAATGTTCCTGTTGTCTGTCTGTTATATGCAACCCATTTAATAACAATAGTTTGTGGTACTAGGGATTGAACTCAGGGTTTTCCTGATGATAGGCAAGCATTCTATTACTGAGCTACATCCCTGCTCCAAGAGTGATAACTTGTAATTACTTTTGTACTCTTCTTACATCACAAAAGCAGGCAGTTCTTGGAAGGCATAGATCAAGATGCCAGTTTCCCCTTACGAGTATGGATATTCCCAAACTGTGGTCATTGAATGTTCAATGAGTATCATTCACTGATAGGAAAAGTCAGGTATTTATGTACTACTGATTTATTCTCATGACACTGAAAGGTAGTAAGCATGTTAAGGAATACATCTGTTTCAAAGCATATATGAATTATGATTGTACATTTGTGAAACATATTCATTATAATTTTTCTTTAGCTATGAAAGTATATTTCCCTTTTTGACCCAAAATTTGAGCCTTATAGTTAAGACCATTTTTCTTCGTATTTTGTATTCCTCAGAGATCTCTATTAAAATGTCCAAGCAGGGGAGATTTAGTACTCATTTGGGTTTTGTCATGGAAAATGGTTAATTTTAGATGTTTCAAGAAGTTTTTGAAGATTGTGCCAATATGTACTAGTTTGGGAGGGAAAAAACACTTCAATATGTTAATACTGGTAAAAATGAGTAATATTTTTTAAATAGGAGCACTGTATAGCTCTGTGAATAATCAGATTTGAATAACAAACTTTTTGAGCCATTTACTTTATAGGTCTATGAGTAGAGTAGCAAGGAAATCTTTATTTTTAATATTAAAAGGTTTAAACTAAATATTTCCAAGCCCGTGTTTAGAGATATGCAATATTTGGAGAAGAAATCATATAAAATAAGAAAGCAAGTTATGATTGTTTTTTTTCATTCCTGGGTGGTTAAAACTAATAAAGTAACAGATGTTACATTTCTTAAAAAGAACTCTGAGTATCCGACGGAAAGGAAGGAGTTGTTTTTTCCTAAGTAATTTGCCCAGTTTTTACAAATCTTGAGTCAAGAACAGTCACAAGTATGCTAACCACCCTGCCAATTAAGTTGGAGATTATTTGAAAAGCATAGCATTTCTTTAGCTTTTAGGTAGTCCTGTTTGCTTTGAAATGCTAAATTCCAGGTAACCAGTGACATATGGACGGCTCTTCTGAGTCTTTTCTTGTTCAGATGAGAGATCTCCTGCTGCCCAGTATGTTGACCTGTTGTTGAACCCGGAGCGGTACACTGGCTACAAGGGGCCCTCTGCATGGAGAGTGTGGAACAGCATCTATGAAGAAAACTGTTTCAAGTAACTGGGGGGGATCTGGGAGCGGGAGAGATACATTTGTTTCTATTGGGAAAAGATTATACATCCAACCATCTTATGTTTGGGTTTTCTGCTCTATTTTTTTAGGCCTCGGTCTGTTTATCGCCCTTTAAATCCTCTGGCACCCAGCCGAGGTGGGTTTTTCATGTTTTTCATGCTTTTAGAGATTGTTTATAAAATATCTTTGTAACTAAATTCTATAAGGAACTACTCAGCTGTTGTATATTTTGCCTAATTTGAGTGATTAACAAAACTGTAAGATTAGTTCATAGTTAAGCCTTAAGATTTCTATATATATATCTTCTGTAATTATTGTCATTTATTGAGTGCCTGCTATGTGCCAGACCCTAAGCTAGGAACTATAAGTAGAATACATTAGAAGATGTAAGAAATCCACATATACCAGAGATTTCCAAGGAAACTCCTCCAACTCTGGATACCCAGGCCCTCCCCCATGTAATGAGGTCCAGAGCCCTGGCAGGAAGACCCAGGCATCTGTGATTTTTCAGTTCTTCAGATGGCTTCAGTGTGCAGCCAAGTTTGAGAAGCAGTTGCTCAGAAGGGTGCTTCTCCAGCCTCAGTATGCATGCAGATCACTAGCCCTGAGTCTATAGGTCCTGGATGGGGCCCAGGATCCTCATAAGCTCCAGAGTGCAGCAGTAGGGTGCTGATGCAAATGCAAGAAAGGAGTTCAAGGCCTCAGGCTGCCCTGGGCAGTGCTCCATACCTGCACTATACATGGAGCAGCTGGTGGCCACATGGGGCATCAAGTGTATGAAACGTGGCAGTGTGAACTTGAATTTTTAATTTTATTTAATTTTTGTTCGTTCAAATGTAAAAACTGAAGCAGCAGGGCCAGGGATTTAGCTCAGTGGTTCAGCCGCCTGCCTGGAAAGCACAAGGACCTGAGTTTGATCCCTGGTACCAAAAAAACAAACTTTGAATCTATGAAATTTTGGGCTGGGGATTTAGCTCAGTTGGTTTTGCCACCTGCTGCACAAATAAGTCCGATCTCCGGTACCAAAAAGAAAAAAAAAACTGAAGCGGCATAAGACACCAGGACAGAAGGGGATGTCCTCATTCTTTTCTTATTGGGGAATCAAACCCTAGGAGCCATCCTGTAATTGACCAATCTAGTGCTTTCTTTAAACCAGGATTGAGTTAAAAATTGAACTTCCTGGGATCCATGAGTCTCTTTTGGCCTTTCTGAGGACCAAGCAGACTTGCCAGGGTGATTTTAGATGCTCATGCTGTCAAAATGTGGCAAATATCCTCCAGATTCATTCTGAAACTGCTAGGGAAGGGAATTGGATCATGCATAAGGGGCACAGCTTCTCAGCTTTTGTCTCTTTTACTATTTTTAACTCATAGCTTTTCAATTTTCAACTCAAATGTTTTATTTACACAAAATTTTATAAAAGTTGAAGAAATATAAAGTTTTATAAAGTAAAATGGGAAAGCCCCCTCCTGTACCTTTCTGTACCATAGTAGAGGAATTCTTCCAGACCTCTGCTATGGTTACTTACTTTTGAAGCAGAAAACATAATTGTTCACTTAATAAAAACATCAATTCCTAAGAAATACTTCATTTCCATGTTATAATAATCAGACATGAAACTGCTAAAAAGATGAAGAAAGGAAAGAAACCACTACATAGAGAAAGTTGGAGGGAAGGAAGAGAAGGAAAAAATACAAAACAAGGGGTGAGGGAGCGCTGGCCTAGTTGGGTGGGTGCCTGGGAAGCAGTTCTGCAGCCCTCTGAGTGACAACCGCGAGGATCACCACTGACCTTCTCGGCTGTCTTTCCCACCATTCCAGAGTCATCACAGTGAGGCTTCTACAATTGTTTTTCCAAAAGTTTTTGAGCCATAGAACCCTTTTTTCCAAAAGTGAAATGTTCCATTAGAATTCCTCAGAAAAAGCTGACAGAGGCAGAGCCACTGTGGGGGCTACAGGACAGTCTCCTGGCCTCCCTGCACCCTGGCCAGAGGCTTCTGGGTCCTCCCATTGAGGATTCTGTGCTGAAGAGCTGTCATCCACTAAAGTCCCCCAGTGTGGGAACAGTGTTCAGAGAAGTGTGTCCATATGATCGAAGGAGTCATAGTATTTAATTATTGAAACTAGTGGTTTTTATGAGTATTTCAGTTAGTTTCTTATATTTATGATATATAAAAATATGTGAAAACCATGTACTCTGGCCTGCTTCTTATTAAAAAGCCTGTTTGCAGATGTCTGCACACTGACCAAGACATGAATAGTTTAACAAACAGTTTTAATATAAACATTTTCTAAAATATTTTCTCTTATTTGCTCTTGTAGGTGAAGATGATGGTAAGTTGAAATTATTCTGTTTGCTTCAAGTGTAGAAGAAATGTTTTCAATTCTCAAAATTTGATTTTTCATCTTGATTTGAAAGAAAACATCCTGTTTCCAGAAAATAGCTACGAGTCAGTGGTGACCAACATAAGATTATTTTTATCATATAAAATTATTCCATATTTTAAAAAGTATAAAGACCATTTAACTTAAAGGTTTAATATAGAAACTCAATTCATATTCCAAGTTCCCCATTTTCTGGTTATTAAAATCTACTTGATTGAGGGGCCGGGGATTTAGCTCAGTGGTTCCGGCGCATGTGCAAGGTCCCAAGTTCGATCCCCAGTACCCCCCCCTCAAAAATCTACTTGATTGTATTAAATGGAACAAAGTTAAGGCAGTTCTGCCAGATAATTTATAACTTCTTTATTTTCTTGTGGACTTTGAAACTTACAATCTCAGTTTTCAGTGTAATACTTAATCTGATGAAGAGCAATTTCTCAGTAGTTGGTTACTTTAGGTGACCATCTGTCATAAGGCACCCCAAACCATCAAAATAATGATTTCATTTCGCTGTTTACTTATCTGTGTTCAGGGACACTTTGGTGGTTGTTGTGCAGAAGAGGAAGATGTATAAGCACAGTGTCTTTGCATTGGGAGCTGACGATGCACAGTAGGAAAAATGAGCACTCTGCATAAATAATGTAACAAATGAAATGTTCTCTATACAGTACAAATGGTAGGCGGAATAGGTCTTTATGGGTCAACAAATGTGTCACTAGAATGACATTACTTGAAGAGGTACTTCTGAGATTAATTTGAATAAAGGAACAGATGTAGGCCAGTAGAACTGGATAGTACATGCTTGCTGGAGGGAAAATAGCAGAAGCTGAGCAAGGAAAAGTCAAGCATAGTGCGAGGCATAAGGAGACCATGTTAGCAAAAGGAAAGACCAGACAATGGTTGGTTTTTGCTTTTTGCTTTTGCTTTGAAATAAGGTCTCATTAAATTTCTCAATCCTCCTGCCTCAGCCTCTTAAATAGCTGGGATTACAGCATACAATCCCATGTGTAGCAGTAGTGTTCACTTAAAATGATGGACAGAGAGCAAATTATTGATGACTTTGGGCACTACCTGTCAGTTGAGGTTTTTTGAATTAAAAGCTGAGGTAATATTGATCCTTAGGATAAGTTGAATGAATGACTATAGAAAGGCGTTTGTGCTGTTTACTGAGTGTAAGTCTCAGGAGGCAAAGGAATTCTCACCACGGATTTTATCCCTTAGACTTCTCACAGCTCACTGTGTGTTGGGTTTTGTGTTATTTTTTCAATTTAAAAAACAGATGAAGGTAAGTTTATTTAGGACATGCAGTAACAATTTAATCCTTACCAACTGCCTTTTTTTTTTAAAACTGTATTAGGCCAGGAATAGCTTGCCTGCTCTCTCTCACTTTTTAAATTGACAAATAAAAATTATACGTGTTTATCATATCAGCATGATGTTTTGTAGTGTGTATCCATTGTGGAATGGCTAAATCAAGCTAAGTACTACACATTATCTCAGGTACTTAACCATTTTTTGTGTGAAAACACTTAAACTCTTTAGCAGTTTTCAAGAGTCTGATACATTGTTATTGATTATTGTTACAATGTTTTACAGTAAGTCTGTACATACCCTTACTTGAAGTTTTGTGGCCTTTGACTTCCACCTCTTGAACCCAGGAAATAGTTCTTAGAGCATCAGTACACAGATAACTCAGGCTTCTCTGTATTCTGTCCATTCACTTTTCTGAAGAATTACATTGAAAATCGGGGGCTTTTAATACTATTCCTTGAACTCTAGTGTTAGGTAATTGAGGAAATATATCTACCTTTATTGACTTAGGAAAAATGAAATAATAATTTGATCTTGCATTAATTTTATTTCACTATTTTTTCTGGAGTTTAAAAAAAGGACTTTGGGGACAGGGATTTAGCTCAGTGGTTCCGCCTCCTGCCTCACAAGCTCAAGGTCCCAAGTTCAATCCCTGGTGTTTAGACAGAAATATCTTCTCAAACACTTTAATAGTAAAATAACATTTTAAGATCATTCTCCCTTAAATTACAAATGGGCTTTATTTTCTAAAATCATATGCCTGTTTTTCCATTTCACCTTAAGCATTAGACATTCTAGAGTCTTTAATCTGACATAATAAATATTTTAGTTTCATTCATTCTAGTTTATAATTGAACATTTGAAATATTTTTATCTAATTTTCTCTCTCTCTCTCTCAGGAGAATCATTCTATACATGGCTAGAAGGTAACTTAATTATCTGTTTTAAATTTATTGGCTTTTTGTAAAAAACTTTTTGTGAGTTTTAGGATTTTATTACCTAGACAAGTAATTTTGACAGTTGTTTGAAAGGAAATAACATGTTTAAGTTATGAAATTTTGGGATCAAATTATTTGAAAAATCTTGTGGTTGGCTGAAAACTAGTATGTATTGTACAGGCCAGATGGTGTCATTAGCTTTGCCTAACTGGTTTCCCCAGCTTCCTTCATTCTGTACATAGTGCTTATTCAAACTGCTTTTCTGATAACCAGTCAGCAAACTCCTAAAGTAGAAACATTCCCTTTAGCGAGAAGTGCTTTTTATATATAAAATAAGGGAAGAGCCAGGGATTTAGCTCAGTGGTTCTGCTGCCTGCCTTCCAAGCGCAAGGACCTGAGTTTGATCCCTGGTACCAAAAAAAAAAAAAAAAAGCAGGTAAAATAAGGGAAGAGGGGCCAGAGATTTAGCTCAGTGGTGCCACTGCCTGCCTTGCAAGCACAAGGTCCTGAGTTCGATCCCCGGTACCAAAAAAAAAATAAGGGAAGATAAATTGAATTCAGAAGGTTCTAAACATCTTTGCCTATGTTAATATAGTCAAAACTCGCCTCATTAAAAGATAAAGCAATATAGATCTTAATATATTAGATACTTCACATTCCTTATTTCAAGTGTTAAAAATATAAAATGTTATTAATGGAAAGCTGAAAAATGTTTTAGGCTTTTAACAACTTAGGTTAATAGCTGGATATATGATGCTTTTGAAAACTTCCTTTACCAAGTTACTATTGGTTTATAAAACTAAAAGTTAAAATAGTAAAAGGTGAGCAAGCTGAATTACATAGGAAAATTGACATTTCATAGCCATAACCTGATAGTAAAGTTAAAGTAAGTAGTCAATTTTATTTGTGTTATTTGGTCATATTGTCTTATGAACATAACTTCTCCTTATTTTTAAGAACTATGTGCATATACTGGTCATTGTTAAAGAGAACATTGTTGTACAAATACTGTTAAGAGTTATATTGAGAAGGGCTGGGGATTTAGCTCATTGTTTT